TGACGACCTTGAAACGGACACCGGGAATATCACCCTTGGCCTTACCCTTGCGACCGAAACCGGCGAGCAGAACCTCGTCGTTCTCATCGATGAAGTTCAAGCAACCGTCATTGGGGACTGTAAGAACATGCCAGTTAGCATATGTTTGTGGTGGTTGTGTTGGTGGTTCCATCTTGTCGTAATTCCAACTCGTGTAGACCTTTCCAACACATTCATAGCAGCAGCAGTAAGGAAGAGGATAACCCACCGAAAGCAGCGACCTTCTTGCCGTTCTTAATGAGCTGAACCTTGACACACTTGCGAATAGCGGAGTTGGGCTGCTTGGCCTCAACACCGACCTTCTCAAGAACGATACCCTTGGCGTGGGAAGCACCACCGAAGGGGGAGGACTTGTAGGCGGTTCCGAGAAGACGCTTCTTGAAGTGGTCATCAGCCCAGCGCTGATCCTTGCGGTGCGCCTGGAGCTTGCGGGCGGCGTTCAAACCACGGGGTTGTCCTTTACCCATGTTGGCGGATTATGTGTTCGACGGTCAACTGAGCAAGGAAAAAAATGTTAGTCTCATGTCGAGTGTAACGGTTGCACTGCTGGTTGTGGATATTTTCGATGCGTGTTCGATGTTTGGAGAAGGCCGATTTTTTGTGCGTGATAGATGCGATCGTTGAGGAAGGATCTCGCAGTGCCACGAATAAAAGATTTCCGAAAACCACGAACAACGTAGGGGAAATAGCAGGATATCGAATACGTACCGACTGGGAGGGGTGTTGTCGGCCAAAGGGGCTGAGGGTCGATTGTCGAAAAGTCGAAGAGTTCCGGATTTCCCTTACCACACGCTTTGGATGCACCTCAGGTGACTTTGTGCGCTTAGCCCTAAGCGAGTCACGAGACAGTCGTAGCCCCCACCTCCGATTATGTCATCACGCCGATAACGATAACATTATCAGCTGCATCATCAAGCTCATTTGGATGCCGAATGTTTGTTGTTCTCTCTAACATTTTTTGAAGATGGATTTGTCAAGAAAACCCACGAACCCAAACCCTCAACGTCTGCCTCCTCCAGCCCTTTTCCAGGGCCCACCATCACACAATACCTCTAATATCTCCTTACCCGCACCACCTGCAACCTCACCGTTAGCAACTGCCTCCGGCCAACCCCCACCCCTGAATCGGAATCGGTCATCTCGCCTAGCCGAGAGCGCAAATACCGAGAAGTCGAGCTTGTTATCACCCTTTGTATCACGCCGCGCCTCCAAACATGATGTTGACGGATCCGATGCCATCTGGCAGGAGATGCAAAACGCCTTGTCAGAAGTGGAACTTAGCGCTGTGACGAGCGAGAATGTCTTCGGCGCAAAGCACTCTGAAGCATTGGAAGATTTACGCATGAAACAGTTGAAGCTCGCCCAAGCCTGGGCACGTAGTGAAGCAGACGATGAAGTTGTGGATCCCGGCCACAGCGGTGCCGAAGAAGCCAGTGGAAAAGCTAGCTTGGAGCGGCGAGGTATTGAAGATGAAACAGCGACAGAAGCTAGCGCAGGTCAAGGTTCGGTATCGTACCGTACGTTGGATGACGAGACCGAGAAAGACATCCGTCTTGCGCGAAAGCGCCGCGAGGCTAATGACCGGTACTTTGATCGGGTCAACCAGGGCGTTTTGGATGTCGTTGCTAAACTGGAGGAGGTGTCTCAGGCCATGCGCACCGTCGAGCGGGAAAGCAAGGATATCTGGAGCGACTCAGATAGTGTCACGACAACTGCACCGTCATCAACTAATACAAGTTGAACTCCTGAGTCTTCCAGTCGATTCAGCTGCAGTCCCGCCTTTCCTGCATTTGCTGCATTTTTTATTTTTCAGTGGGCGAGTGTACATGTCCCAGGATTGATGAGTCTTGCCGGACCGCATTGATATCTCTATCCCATATGAGAATGCGCTGGACGCATTCACAATATCCCTCGGGGAAATAATAATACTAATGCATTTAAATTATAACATAACTAAATCAAGGGTATCCAAACTCCGGTGCTCAAAATCAAACCCAAAACAAGCGGACATGATAAAACATCTAAGGATTCCTTCGAGCCAAGCCTTTGCTATAGTTTCAGAAATGATCCTTCATTCTCTTTTCACCACTCGTGCAGCAGCCTTCCAGCTTTCCGCGGCAGCATGTCTCACATCCTCCCATCTTGTCTCATAGGCCTTCCTTGTCAAGGCCTCCACTTCCTTATTCCATCTATGCTTAAATATCTCCTCCATAGTCGGCTCGGCTTGTCTCTGCGCTTCGAATTCTTCACGCCGCCACCTTGGCACGTCTTCTGGTAGGAAGCGCCGGTCATAGGCACCAGCAGAGGAGTTCAACCAGTCTATTTGCTCGACTTGCGCGTGGATGGCATTCCGTTGTGATATGCGTGTTGAGCGGTGTACTTGGATGGTAATACAGAGAACGGATGAGGTGAAGGCAAAGCCGCCGAGCTATTCGAGTGCGAATTGTAGTTAGTCCTTGCTTTCTGGTATATATTCGAGGATAAATCGTACAAATCCAGTGAAGAAGCCCATATTTGTTGTGGTGCTTGGAGTCGCCGGATTGTCTATTTGTTCGTGGGGGTGGATTGAAAATGCGACAAATGGTACAAGTATTTCGGGATTATAGCCTATGCTGTCCTCGGCAATCAATAGGTTTAGGTGAAATGTATTCGAAAAGCTGAATGTCGTCGAACAGACAGAGTGAGCGCGGAAAACTGAAGTCGGACAGACGGTGGAAGCGCTCCGATTGGCCGAGACAATTCTTCTGGGCCGAACATCCTCCAGGGCTCTCCTTCACCTGTAATTAGTGAGCCATTGACCTCGTGATTCCCACTTTACTTTCAATAACTCGCTCTCTTTCTACCTCCTTTACTCCCGCTTAATAGCCCTCATCATGGCCGGCGGTGGAAGCAGATACCGCCACTTGAGCCGCGACTCCGCGCATCGACAGGCCCTGCTCCGAAACCTGGTGACCTCCCTCTTCGAGCATGAATCAATCACCACGACATGGCCCAAGGCCAAAGAGGCCCAGCGCCTGGCCGAGAAGTTGATTACCCTGGGCAAGAAGAACACTGAAGCGAGTCGGCGACGTGCATTGGAGATTTTCTACGTATGTTGAATTCCCAGAGAACAAGCCCACCCCGATTTCAATACGGAAAGGAATCATTCTGGTCACGAGAATTCATGGGTTTACTGAATCTTTGATGAATTGCTGCAATTCCCGATCCATTATCCTTTAGAGAAAAAAAAAACAACCCGCAACCCAATGACAACACTAACATTCCCTAGACACCACATGAAATGCTCCCCAAACTCTTCGGTCCCCTCCGCGAGCGCTACGCAGACCGGCCAGGTGGCTACACACGAGTCCTACGCATAGAACCTCGCGAAAAGAACGAGTATTTCTCCCCCAAGAAGGGTACTAAAAACGCCGTCCGAGAGCCTAAACCCCAGGTCAAGGCTCCCACCGCTATCCTCGAACTGGTCGATGGGCCGAAGGACATGCGTTTCGCCATGACGGCGCGCACTGTGGCGCGCGAGCGTGAGCAGGGCCGGGATCTTGTGCACGCGCTCACAAGGTTGAACGTGAAGAAGGTTACGCAGTTCCGGAAGGACGGTGTTGAGGTTTTGGAGCGGGCGATTTCCCAGCTCAGTCTTGCCAAGAAGCAGAATGATAAGCTCGCTAAGCAGGAAGCGGAGGTTGAGTCAAGGGATTAGATGTGGGGAGTACTATCTATCCTTTCTGGTGTTCTGTTTCGGAATCCTCGGCCGGGGGTGATTGATCTCTGAGATCTGTTTGGGAGATTTTCTCTTCTGGGCTTTGATCGGCGTTCTCGATGTACCATTCTCTTCGTCTTCGAGGTTGACTCCGTTGCTGTTGACTCTGTTCTTTACTTGTTTTTCTTACCAGGAGTTCTGTCTTCTTCCTGTTTATTATGGCATTTCCGTCTCCGTTTGCACTCGCGCATGTGACATAGCCTCTGTATAAAAGATTTTGATACCTCTTTATTCGCACTTCTTTGGTTTATTGGGTTCCGGTAAAAGCAGATGTTGAGTCATGCTGTTGGAAGGACGTCGCCGTAACATTTTTATCCCGGGCTTTTATATAGACCTGAAGATCAATCTTACCTGTTGGACAATATATTACGATTGAAGACGTCGCCAGTCAATATCATCCACGTTCAGAACTAGGCATTTTGCCGATTGTGCTGCCTGGCGATCAGATTTCAAATTATACGGATGTCAACAGCCTTACAAAAACGCCATGACCTGCAATGTCGATCAAATAGAGGGCTCACCGCAAATAATAACTGCCTTTATTGCATCGTTATTGATACTAAGGGGATTCTGCGTGGTTTGGTAGTTATGTTAACAATGCTAGTAGGAAATTGAAGAACTATATATTCGAGAATCCATAGCATCCTCAACCAAAATAAAACTTACTTCCAGCAATAGACTTCAAATTGAGGTTCTATTAAGTCACCAATGATCGAATTATTCTGGAAAATGTCCAAAATTCTGTGCAGACTCCCAACGCCCATTTCCTGGGGCGGTTGACCAGATCTGATATATCAGCTGCAGCTCGATGTAACAGACTAGTGCAGTCCCCACAAAGAAATTACAATCAAGGGACAGTAAAATTCGATGCAAAGGTATCAATAGTTGAGCTCTCTAGCATATGATCTAAGCGCATGCTGTCACAGTCCAAGCCGGGCTGCCCAAGGGGTCATTTATTCATCTGGCTTATAGTGTTGGGGGATACTCAAAGTCTCGATTTCTCTTCTACAATATTCCATGCCCAGCAAGAGCTGTGATCCGGTCAAATAATATAGAGTGCTTGATTCTGTTGTCCAGAATTCGATACCCATTTTTAGTACACCGCAACCTTCTTGTGAAGTATGCCCAACTGTACTTTCCAGGATTCATCATTTGCTGATCTCCTACCAGATCAGAAGAAGTATAGCCAAAAGCAATACTTGAAATGGAAAAACCGTCACTCGAAAGACACAACCCGCTCCGGCAAAATGCTCCAAGCCCCCCATATCCCGACACAGACAAAGAAGTCGCAGTGTCATACCCACCCCGACCAACCATCGAACACAGCATGAACGAGGACTGCACCCTACAAGTCAATGATCGGGACTGCACACTAGAGTTCAGCGACCGGGACTACAACCTGGAACTCAATCAATACGTCGACGACAAACACACAGACAAGCAGGTCGAGGCCGGAGTTGGAGCCGCAGACAGAGGCCAGGGAGATGAAAGTGGGCGACAGTCTGCAGAAGACGGGAAACAAGATCCGGAGTCACAGTCTGTGACAGGGACGGTTAGGCGTCATAGGCCTCGTCGGCGTGAGTGGATTATATTTGGTTCGGCTCTTGGGGCTGTTGTTCTTATGGTTGTTATTATTGTTCCTTCTGCGATCTTTGGAACCCGTCAGTCTAGGCCACAGTATAAGCCGCCTACGAATCCATATATTTCATGAGCTGATGGGGATTTCATATCTGAGAGGACTTGGACGTATATATTGAGGGCTGAAGACTTGGATGTGAAATGCTGGGGGTTCAAGTGCTGTTTCTTTGTCTGATAGTTTATAGTTTGATTAGGCATATATGCAACTCGAGAAGTAAGCACCATATTCGGTATAGCCATTCGTACTCTAAACTAGTAGCTTTCATACTGATTGAATCTCTCCTCTTCAACCAACTCGACAAAATAGGAGGAGAAACACGTGATAGCACTTTCAACCAATTAAAACTATATATTCTGTAAATCACATGATAATAGTAAACCCTACTACTACTTGGCACTTCGTCTTTAACACGCGCTGCTGATTCGAGACGCAGTATATCAGAGAAGGAGACTTCTGTGCTTCGAAAATTTGTCCAAGGGCTTATGGTCGATGTAATAGTATTGGAGCAAAGGGCCTGCAAGATAGATATACTAGTGCTTGACATTGGGAGTCATCGTCCTCTTATCGTTGGTATTTTGTACATTGTGGTGAATATTGGCTGTATTTTACAGATTATCAGATGGCCTCAGGCATGTATACGTGTTATAGGAACCACTTGTATGTAGTAGTACATGCTTGCTCCAGAAATCTCTTCCTCTCTCCTCTCCTCTCCTACCTCTTGAGACCTCCTTAATTACTGGAGTCCATCTTGTTTTGAGCTGTACTTTGTTCATCGCATAAGTCGATTCTTCTTTTAATCATTTGGCTACATTACATATAGGACATCCTAGTCGTGATTCTTATACTGTTTTGGAAGGTATTCATTTCGGATTCTATGTCCTCCAAGTAGGCGAGAAAGAAGAAACATAAGTTGAACAGGTTCATGACTAGCTAAGAGCGACTAGGTACATGCACAAGAACCCGGATCGCCAAGCATTGTACTGTTGTAGATGCAAGCCTTGGAAGATAGTTGCCGCATGTGGACATATGAATCTAGCCTATAGACTACGGGACAAAGGTTCATATCTCCACAACTTCTAAAGACACAAGGATCACAGATACAACACATATGGTAGTAGAAATGTGACCAAAGCCGTAAAGCTTTAGTTCGGTTTGGAGACAGTTGTGCCTCCAGAGACAACAAGTGGTCCATTGCTGACGGCGGAAATTCCATTGCTGCTGTATGTTGGTGCTGGGACCGAGGCCGGAACGGTTCGGCTTTTTAGATCAAAGTCGGAAGGGACTTCGGAAGGCGGGGGTTTGGGGGGAAGATGAGATGGTGTGCCCCATTTCGCGATCGAGTCTCGAGGACCGGTGGGCACTCGGTTGGAATTCATAGCCGGGGTTGAGTCCATAGTCCGGTTGGAACTTGGTTCCGGATACCCATGCCATTGCTGTTGGGCGCCAGGTTGGATGGTACCATACGGCTGCATTGGGTGTTGGCTTTTGTTCGGGTGACGCCCGAGAGGAGCACCGCCGGGGATGAATGAGCGTGTCTGAGGGTTGAAGTGTGACCTGGCATATCCTGCTTGCATTGCTGCGTGGGATCCGGCAGAATTTTGGAGAGCAGGATTCATATGCTGCCCGGGGTATTGAGCGTAAGGATATGCGCCCATATTGGACGGCATATTGGAGCTCATATTAAGACCCATGTTGGAGCCCATGTTTGAGTTCATGTTAAGCGGCATGTTGAGTGGCATGTTAGAAGCCATTGGCTGATGAGGATAGTTGGGCCAGTGAACAGGCGGTCCATTTCGTGGGTGCTGGGACTGCTGGAAATTTGCGGGGAAAGGAGGCGAGTTCCAATTGAGGTTTTGTTGATACGGGGTCACATTGGGCACGGCATAGTTGTTCATTGCCGGCGAGGAAGCGTTTGAGGACGGCTGGTTCATCATCCCCTGTTGGTTCATCGAAGCATACCCGGAATATGGAGATTGTTGCGGCATGTTTCCTCCTTGCCACGAGCTATTGGAGGCCATCTGAGGCGACATTGCCACTGGAAACTGGGAGCCATTCACATTCACATTCATGTTCAGTTGCCCAGGGTAAATGGCACCATTCTGACTAGATGGCATGTATCCACCAGAGGGTGGCGGCACGCCAGGTCCCACCAAGTAAGGTACTTGGTTTGGATATGAGCTGTCATTTACAGGAGCATTGTACTGAGCAGCACCATTTCCATATTGCATACCTGGGTAGTAGGCATTGAACTGCGAGCGAACCTCAAAGCTGTCATCATGAGGAGTTCGCTGCCTCTGGTTTTTTTTGCGCCCGTTCGCCGAGCTGGAGCGTGACATGTTGGGATTCGAGTCACCGCTGGCCGGATCTGATTTGGCACTGTCGGGAAAATCACGAAAGATTCGTTCACGTACTTCATGGTATTTTGCCTCCCGTTCCTCCCTCGTCAAAGCCATTCGATCTTTAGCGTGTGTAGCGCCAGAGGAAGACCAGTGACGTTCTCCATCTGGTCCGCTATCGCCATCTTCCGAGTTGGTCTTGGAAGGGTTTGAAGAACCTCCAATACTTCCTTCGAATTGCCCTCCATCGTTTCGGCGCATAATTTTCATTGCCGGGACAGCTGGAGGTGGAGTGCTATTGGAAGCAGCATACACAGCGGACAAAGGAGTGGGTAGCCGGCAGAATGGCGTGCGATGAAGCCTGACCGATGTCACATTATTATCGACAAAATGTGTTAAGTGATAGTAATCTCCTAGCTTGTGTGCAAGAAGTCGCCCAAACGCGTTCGAGGGGGGCAACTCTAGAGACTGCTCATTGCAGTCCTTGATAAAGTGTCGAATTTTTTCCTCCAATTGCAGGATCAGCAGCCGATCTTTCGGTGATTTCATTGCCTCTAGGAGTTTTTCATCCGGCTCCAAGGGAAACCCATGTAATATCTGACCATCTTCAATGCCATCGGAGTTGGCTGGAATCACGAAATTATTCGCGACTGAATCTGGAGGAATTGCACCATTCACCGGCTGGGCACCGCCAAAGAGAGGAGGCACGGGCAAGTTTCCGCGTGGGCGTGTAGGAATGCCATCTCGGTAATGGTCCCGAAACGCACGACTGCCAGCTTCGGAGCCTGCCACTGAGTTCGGAGCCCCAGAAGCAAGTCCGGAAAGCGACTCCTCTTCATCAATCGCTTGGACACTAGCACTATCATCGGGACGTACAGAGTCCTTTTCATCCATTGCAAAGGTCGTCACCGAGGCAAGACTCTTGGAATCAAAGTTGGTCATTTTTGTGGATGAAGTAGAAAGGTGAGTGCGATCATCTTCAAAAGAGTTTTCCCGCTTGAGCAAGCCATCATCTTGGCCGCTAATAAACGAGCTTGGTCCATCACTGTGATTTTCCGAGGTGATGCCAATGTCTTGCACACCTCTCCCTAGATCATCAACAGCTAGTTCTATGGAACTAGCCTCTGGCGTTTTATCGACATTATGCTGGCTGGGCAAAGATTCACCGGAGCCATTTGCTTCTGAGCAAAGTGATTGGTCTGCTGGCTGGCATATTTCGTTTTCATCAGATACCGAGGAAGAATGTGGGCCGAGGGGGGCGGGCATAGCGGCGATCTTGTCACGGAATTAGCGATGAGCCATGAGGTAGTGGAGCAAACTCTTAGCTTACCTTTGCAAAGGAGAGAGGGCCGTCTCCACCTGGGGGACTTTTTGACGCCATGACAACACTCTGCGGGATGGTCGCTGAGACTGGTTAAATTTCACGAAAAAAAAAGAAAATCCGAGATCAAGGTCAAGCAGCAGCTGCACTCAGCAGGCTTCGGATTTGCAAATGTGAACAAGGTGGTAGCTTGTTTGGTTGAAAGTAATGTCGCTGCGTAATTTCGTTTCACACAAGCCCAAAACGAAAGACATATCTCTGGGGTAGGGCAATCGCCATGGAGAAAGCTGTGGAGAATGCGCATTAGCACCATGCATGAAAGTAAGGGGATCCATAGGATCAATGAGGAGAAATATCCACTTCAATAAAGCGAGAAGTCTAGGCGGATCAGGCAACGGGGCCTTACATGATATCAAAGCTGGCTCATAGTCAGGGAGATCTCGTACCGAGTTTTGAGGGGATTCCAGATCCGACGGGTATTTGAAGAGCCGATCAACTCTAGATCGTCCGTCCGAGATGGATGACGTGAATGTTGACAATGAACTCCGAGATCGAGAAGGAGCGTTGGGGATCTGAATTCAGAATTCTTGATTACCTGAAGATTCGTGGGCATTATGCCGCGCCCGACCGCCCTTGGCGCGCGCCTACAATTTCCCTTGGGCTTCAAAGGGTAACAGCCGCTAATTTGCGCCGATCAGCTTTACGTCGGATGTTGCCTGTGTTTCTTATCGTGGGAGCGTCAATAGCCTTATTTCAGACCTAAAGTACCTGCCAATCTAGGATTCTAAACGAAACTACAACATCACGAGCCCCAATGAACCGATATCGAAACGCCCCGAAGCTTGGAGGCTCCAACTCCAACAGGGCCACCGCGACCACACTGTGCCAAAAATGCCTTGGACGAGATATGTACCCCATTTCATTTGCTCTTTGGACGTTTGACTAACTCCGATCCACGACACTATAGCTTTGATTGCAAGGCATCCGCGCAAGAGCGCCCATATGTCCCGCGACCTTCAAGGACTCAGCAGCTACTGAATCCAGAATTGATGCCCAAGCTTTCAAGTGAGAATCCAAATGAGTTTTTGCGAAAGTAAGTTCACGTGAATAATTGTCGTTTCCGCATTTTTCTGCTTTGGAGTCCTCGCTAACTTGTATGAAGAGAGGGTGTAGCAGACGAACTCCTTGCTACTCGGGAGGAAGAGCGTGGCCGCAAGAGAGACCTTGAGGATATGACAGATCGCGGCGCTCAGTCTCCGAAGCGGCCTAGGTCCCTCTCAGTGGAAACGATATCTACGAATCGATCCGATTCCTCACCTCCCCGCCGTAACAAACACGGCGCATCTGACAGAGGTCGCCGAGATGATTCATCAGCACCACCTGCAAAGTCCCGAAAGAGACGCTTCAGTGATTCAACAGAGGGTTCTTCAGGGTCATTCCACTCGGGACCAAAAGACCGCTCACCCTCCCAAGAGCGAACCGACGATCGAAACACCCGGCGACGGAGACGGGAATCTAGCCCCGAAGAACGAGGTCGTCACCGTGGAGCAGGAAGACATAGCGAGCGAAGGGACCGCCGAAGCAAGAGTGTGGATAAGGATCGAGTGAAAGAATCACGTGCTACGACTCAGGACGTTCCCCGGGACCGTTCACACCGTGATCAAGCAATCCCATCACGTCAGTCTCAACATGGACGCTCTAAGCCTGATCCCATAATGCAGAAGAACCAGCTTCCTCGGGAACGAAGCTTGAGTCCTTTCAGTAAGCGCCTTGCTTTGACTCAAGCCATGAATAACGGACGGTAAAGTGAATTGAAAACCTGCTCTGCAATATTGGGGCTTCATACGGCGCAAAATCTTGATGGAGGGGGAACACGGCGCCAATTCGTGTTCCATCAGTATTTGATCAAGTGTATCATTAGCATCTCCATTGCGGAGTTTGAAAATATCTGTCACTCGACAGCGGAACTAAAAAAAATCCAATAATGATTTCTGAACGACACTAAGATAGATATGCTCATTGAGAATCTTAAGTTGTAAACCTCCGAACGCCTCATTTTTGTGCGCAATATGCCCATGGCATCAATTGGACGCCTCAACCGAGACAACAAAAAAAGGAATAAGTTAAATGGACAGAATATAGACAATTACAGGTGGAGGCAGAAGACCTAGACAACGCTCGCATTCCTGCAACACAAAGGGTATCAAGTTCAAATCGTTTCTTCGTCGCTCTTCGCTTCCTCTCGTTCGCGCATATGGATGCCCTCAACGAGCGCTTCACCCTCCATGCCCACTTCCTCCCCCTGCTCGTCTCCGTTAGACTTAGGCCCACGCGCCTTCGCATCACGCTGCGCGTCCTCTAACCGCTGCCGCAACATCCGTGCAATTGAATTTCCCATCCGTACATCAAGAATCTTGAGCTTTTCGTTGAGATCGCGCTTCAAGTCCCAGTTGGGTTTCTTAGGTTGTAGTTTGAACAGATCAATGGGTTCGTCGGCATCCGCGTCCTTCTTGGCTTGTTCCGCTGTGGCTCTTGCAATTTTAGCCGCCTGTGCTTCCAGCGTCACCTGGCCCTCTTGCGGGCCATGCTCGAAGCCCAGTTTAGGCCCGCGAGTCTCGGGGTCGTAGTTGCGGCCGGATAGGTATTTTGTGCTCACATCTGGCGTGGAATCGGCGTCGGGCAGCTCCTGGTCTTCTGCACTGGCCTCATTTGTGTCTTCTTCAGGTTGCTTGCGCTTCAGAGCTGCGAGCTTGGCGAGGCGGGCTTTGCGGTCGGTGGATGCCGCATCAAGACTGGCATGGTTTGACGACATGTTTTCGAGTGATGGTTGAACTGAGGATGAATGGGATATCTGGGCTTTGGGGACTGGAAAGTATAGTGATTGAAGTGACCGGAAGAAATTCCCAAGCTCCTCCGCTGCTTCGAAGTTGAAGATGATGGAGCGATAAAAGTAGATGTGGTGCGCCACAACACTAGCCACGGCAAAATCGGGCGGAATGGCGGAATTCAACTTTCTGTCCGGCATTGGACTTTGACTTCTCGCCATACTCTGTACTTGACTTATTTTCTTTGTCTTGGTCTTTCCCCCAAATGTCTGCGGGTACAAGCTCCTGAATGTCATCGTGTCCGCACCAACTCGTTCGGTCCCGTCTCAACGGGTTGCTGTCACCACAATGTCGGACTCTAGGCCGATGGTATCGGGAGTCAGGGACGAATGTCAGTCATAAAATGCGCCTCTCCACATACAATGCTCCAGCAATCTTTGAACCTGGTGTGACACATGATGCTCCTGACCCCATATCATATCAACACAACCACGGTTCAACCGACAGTTCACATTCGCCGAAAAGTGAACAATCAGATCAGGTCGCAACAAATCAGTATGGCATAGGCCATGGACAATCAAAATCTTCAACCCAACCACGAAGTTCATCACAGACACCGATTATAACGAATGATAAAATGAAGAAGGTCGCCTATGTGCGAAAAGCTGATCCCAAGCTTGTCGCCATGGCGGCTGAGAGAGTCAACCGAGAAATCTTAAACAAGGGTAGACATTTGACTGATCGCGGGTTATACCTGGCGCTTTCAATGCGAATGAATTCACTCTACATGCGCGAGCTAGGTCTCCGTCAATGGAAAGAGGCATATGGAGCAATTCACAAGGCCAAGACACATGGCCGTGAGGTCTTGCACAAATCTGCATTGCCAAAGCTGAGAGAAGATGGCGAGCAACTGCTAGCCTTGCTTCTCGAAGACTGTCAAGGCAAGTTTCGAGAGGCATGGCTGGCAATGACCCGCCCTAACAGGGCTTGGGCCTGGCAACGCCTGGCCATTTGGCTTCTGCAAAATAACCCGGCAATGGCCTTGGAGTTTTTACTCGTCACAACTGAGCCACGAGATAAGCCAGATTTAACTATGGTTGTTGATTGCTTGACTTACTTGGAAAGATTTCATTATGAAGAGCTCCGGGATTGGACAAAAGGTGCCCACACATTCGAATCGGTTGTTGCAACTTCCCTGGATCCAAAGGACTGGCCAATTATCTCCCCGCCACAAAGGGGTATACGGTTCTATATTCGCCGAGCAGGCTTCTTAGGTGTCTACGAGAGTTTCCGTTTAATGAACGAGCGAGGCGTCACGATGGAAGCGCAAACAGCACTTTGCTACATGTACCGATTCACACAGCTGAACGACGTGGAATATGCCCTTAGGGCTCTCGAATTCATTCCCAAAATCAATGACCCTGAATTTTCAATGGACTCTGAAGGAGTCTTACGGCATTGTTGCAAGCTCCTGACCCTGGACACTGTTGAGGATAACGCCAGCGGACGAAATTTCCGGATCCTCCCACGGCTTCTCAAAATGGGTGTTCAGCCAGACCGAGACATGATGAATCTCGTGCTCGCCAATGCTTACAAAACCGGTGATCCTCAATTGGGGTCGGACATGCTTCAGTTCATGAAGAATCACCACCACGAATTCGATTCTTATACATATTTGACTCTCCTCACGGATGCGGTGTCTCGAGGCGACCGGGGTCGTGTGGACGAGTTGGTGCGGGAAGTCGAGATGCAAGAGGAATTACGAAACAACCCATACATTTTCAGCAAAATCTTCCATGCTCATTTCACTTTTACCGCCAAGCATATTGATCCCGAGAGCGATCCCTCGGGAGTTTTCTACTCTATGCTCGACATGTACAACAAAATCCACGACATCACACCGCTCAAAGAACTCCTTCTACTCCCTCCCTCATACTCACCGCCGCCAAGTCAAGGACTTGAAGTGAAAACCCCACCATCTCCAGTATCTTTGTTCCTCATGATCGCAACATTCTTCCGTTGTAGGAATCGGATATCACAAGTCCATCACATGTATGACAGATTCCGCGAGCTCGTGCAGCAGGGCCATCCATCCATCGCTCCTCTGGTCGAGACCGACCACGTCTATAATGAATTCCTCATCGCCTTCCGCAAAAGCAGCCGTGGACTACGGTCAAGCATACGTCTCGTCGAAGACATGCTTGACACCTCTACCATACCAAAAGAAACTATTGCTGGCAAACCTCTCAAGCACATCGCACCCACGCATCGTACTTGGACCATCCTCCTCAGTGCCTTCAATTACAGTCGCCAGCCCGATGCCGCCGAGAAAGTCAAGGAGATGATGGCCAAGCACAATGTGGAGTACAACCAGGTGACTTGGAACACCATCATCAATGGATTCGCCAATGCGCAGGCCATCCCTGAAACTGCTAGTGCAATCACGAAGATGGAAAAGGAAGGCTTTGCCATCGACCATTACACGATGAAGAGTTTGCGTTATCTCCGCGACCCCGAACGCCTCTGGGTGGCGATCGAGGAGATGGATGAGGGCCTTAATTCGGATGGAACCAATAAGCTTCTCACCCTCGAGCCCGCATCCGATGTTCACAGTGATCAGAAGGTGCACGACGAGCTCATTGACAATGGGTTAGAGAAGTTGGAGTCAAAGTTGAAGCCTAAGATGTAAGATAGGAAGACCCTTTTGTCTTTTACTGCCGCCTTTGGTGGGTCAAGTATTTTGGACGCATTGGTCCTGAAGAAGTGCCTTTGAATTTTTTTTTGTAGATTTTAATATCATGTACTATATACTACCGCATCATGAACCTCTTGTTCGTCTGAAAATCTTATTGCATCTGGATACCATCACATGAAGGGCAAATAGTAATAGTAATCTCTTATAACCCCCGCCTAAAGGTTACTTGAGGTTCGATCGAAGTTGAGGACTACCACAAGCCATTGATAGCACGTAGAAACACCCCTTCAAACACCCATTGAGACTTAAGCAATGTTAATCGCCGAAGAAGATCGAAACCTGCATACAACATCAGTATGTATCTCTCTTCATACATCGGGACTAGTGGAGAGAACTTACTGCCATCACGACACAGCATATGCTGACGTACGGGCTGAGTCGCTCTCCGACTCGAGCAGACTTCCAGAATATCCCAAAGATCCTACATCAAAGAACTATCAGTCTCCCCGTCATCTTCCTGCATCCCGGATGCGCATCCTTAGGTGGGCGCCTACCCATTCTGGTTCCGGTCCATGATCCCCGGCATTATCGAGTGCGCATAGCTGCTCGTGCAGATTATCAGGAGAATCACGAGAAGCAACGATTGAAAGTTGAAAAGAGCAGACTAGGTAAGTGTGATAGTTAGCACATTAATCATACTATCATTGTTCCAACGTAAACGCCACGCGAAAGCCAAGCCACATATACTTCTCACAGAACAGTTGTTTTCATAAATTCTGCCATCTACATAAACTCACCATCTGTTGCAACTGTAAACTCTTCACCCGTCACTTGGGCAAAGAAAGAGAATTGCGACCGTAACTTGCCAGGTAGCTTGCATGTGCTAAGGTTGCTAACTAACCCCCAGTCTAGCATATTCTGCCCGGTATGTCCGCCAAGCGCACGGGCCAAGCGGCCAAGCGGGTATCATTCTCCTTGCCGCCATATGCATCTCCGCCACCTCTTAAGCCATCACACACTGGATTGGGTACTCCGAACACCTGGACTCGAACTCCAATCCGTCCCTTTGAGACTACAATCTCAGCAACTCCAAACGCTCGCCTCCAAGCTCCAGGCACCTTCTCATCAACTTCGAAGACTGACTTGTCTAATCCGACTCGCAATCCATCACGTCAGCCTAGCTCGAAAAATCTTGTCTCTGAGCTCTCGCCTAAGTGGGGTTTCAATGAGCAAGATACAGTACTAAATTGTGCCGGATACGGACCTGAGTGGACTCCCAGTTCACCCGACACGACATCTACATCGACTGGAAAGGAAAAGAAAGAGCCCACAACCAAGCCCACCATGGCCGAACCACGTGCGCGTACGGCCCGGCACAAGGGTCAAATGAACTTCCAGAATGAACGTAAGTTCCTGCAGCCCATGCATATTCATTAATAGAAGCTACAAAGCCAAATTCAATACTAACTATCTCTACAGTTCGCCTGCTCCTTCTTGCCTACGGCGACCCCAGCCCGCATCCGAGCTTCCCGAACGAACCACTTCCCGAGACAGTCCGCGTGCTGGACGAAATTGTCACCGACTTTGTGTTGGAACTCTGCCACGGCGCCGCGCAAGTCGCACACCACGCCCGCCGTCAGAAGATCAAAGTTGAAGACTTCCGCTTCGCACTGCGTCGCGACCAGAACAAGCTCGGCCGTGTCCAGGAACTGTTACGCATGGAACGTGAATTGAAAGAAGCTCGCAAAGCATTTGACCAGAATGATGATCAGGTTGCTAAGGAAGCTGGAAAGAAAGGTGCTGCTGCTGCGGCCGCTGCTGCTGCTGCTGGCGAGGATCCTGTGGCTGCCGAAGCCGCTGCCGCTGCTACTGTTACCAAGAAGAGTAAGGGCAAGGGGAAAAGAGGTGCTGCAACCCGCCGTGGATCCGATGCTACCGAGGAGTCAGTTTCAAAGAAGCGTAAGACGATCGGCTGAACATATACCCTTAATAACTCCACCAACTCTTGCCCAGATGCCGTGGGTCACGAAGAACATGACTTAATGCCCAACGTGTGTTTCTTTTCGCCAATATATTTACAGCTACTTTTTCCAATACCAAGAAATAACTAGAGAAATACAATGAGAATTCATCAAATCCCAATGCTCATTTTATTTATATAAGAAAGGTAAGACTGACATCGCGACTTGCACTTGCGGCCGTCCCACTCGCCCGATGCAACCACTGGTACATCGCAACGCCTTGACCGCGGCGATAGGAGCAAACTAGGCTAAAACCACGCTCGTTATATACTGTAGGCTATCAGTAGTAGAACCATGCCAAGAACCTGAGTCGTCTCAACATTGTTCCCGTCCATAGTCAAATTAAAGTATTAAGGTTCGGGTCCGCGAGCCTCCTTCCCCACTTGGAAACATGAGGTCTACCTCTAGGGCGGTATCTACATGCACATACCTACATTGAGGCTAACTTGTAAACTAATACACCATTTGTGCCTTCCATAAAATTCAACAAATAGACCTTCTAGCTGCAGTCCTAGATTGACAACAATCTCGTCAACTCCGTGCCGCTCTCAGCTTGACGACATCTCCGACTTTGGATGGGTATCTCTCTCAACAGACCTACGGTATCTGATTGAATGTGAGGTTTCTGGGCGTAAAAAAAGAAGACAAGAAAATACCTTTCTACACTGCCAACCGCGGAACAATACCGGAGATATCAGATTCACGACAAGGCTCCTCCCTCATGATGCCCCAGACGGACTGTACCAGGAAATATTCCTTCGAATCTACCTTATTGGCGATATTGTCCCCGAGAAAATCAGATGTCGCATGCAGGAGCAAAGGCCGTGCCATGGTGCGCCAAATAGAACTCACAGCCGTGCATTCCGCGTCATCGGAAACATTCGATTCGGACCGGGACCCCCGACAAGTATACAACTAGTCAACGAATATATCTTCGGAATCTCTACTTTCTCTTAGATTATGATGATGATTGCCCGTCCGATGCCATCTTGTCAACACTCACTAGTCCACCATCTGAGCTTTCAGGAAGACAAAAAGAGAGACTCCTCGGTGCGAGCGAGGCAACAAAAACATGGAGGTTGAACATCTCGATACTGAAGCCTAAGCACGTCTTCCATCCAGCTTGCTTATCAATTACTGTTGCTTGAGTAGCACAGGTAGACGAGTTCAGCCGGAAACAGGTGGGTGGTCCGGCATGAAGAGGACGATGAAGAGTATAACAACAAGCCTGAAGCTGTCGCATTTAAGTGACATACTGATATTTTGGACGTTAGCCGACAGGAAATGCTTGATACCTCAATGGAATTGGAACCATACGAAACCTCAGTGACCAAGGAGGACTATAACGTGAGCCTCTTATGGCTATAGCCGGAGTAGTAAATGGTGGGAAATATACAATACGAAGAAGCTCTAGAACTTTTATGTCCATTTCATCATAACTGAAAACGCCGCGCCTAGAAAGATGCGACTTCGTAACCGGAGAGATCGGGTCTCGCAGACCCATCTCTCATCTTCAACAGTCTAGACTCATCACCCCCGAATATTCTCTATCGTCGAACAGTAATGACATCGTCACCTCATCAACCATCACCACATGTTATACCAATCATATTGATAGTAAATCGGTCTCAATACCACAGCACCAGGTGTTGAAGACCGTGTTTGGACGTCAAAACAGAGCGAGTCCGGAAGCCGTTGACGGGACCAGGCCACAGTCCGTGAGCTCCGGAGAGAACATGTAAGCCTCGCGAGTAAAAAAAAGAGGAAGCCGGAAAAAGGAAAAAGGGACGAAGGCGGTAGAGGGTTGGTGAACAAGAAGCGAAAGACCCAAAAGTAATAATGTCAGGGAAGGGTGAGATAGAAAGGGAAGGGAACGTGAGACGAGACATCCACGTTCACTTGGAGAGGAGTGTTCCTCTCGCAATTGGTCACATTATGCATCAGCGTTTTTTGCTGTGGGAAACATCTCATGCGCGGGTCTCCTCGGTGCGGTCCTGGCGGGGGCGGCCGCCTTGGTTGTTGCCCTTGCCGCCACGCTGATTGCGCTGGTCGCCGGTAGCGGGGCCCTCGCCGCCGCCGCCGAGAGTAAGCTGGGCGGTCGCTAGCCGAGTGGAAAGCTCCATCTGTGTGCGCACGGTGTTGGCGAGGTAAGAAACGACCAGGACGTCCTGGATGTGGTTGTTGCTGTGGAAAGTTAGTGGTAAGAAACACCAGGGAATATAATGTAGATTCAACATACAAGTCACGCTCAATGTCGGCAGGCTCGACCTTGGGAGCGAGAGCGAGAGCGTTAAGCAGGAACTGGCCCATGGCAGTGGAAGCGGGGGTCTCCTCGTCTATCACGGACTCAACGTAGCGCGAGACGCGGTCAACCATGGACAGGACCTCCTCAATGGCGCGCTCCAGAGATTCAATGTCGGAAGTGACGGAAGTGGAACGGTCCTCGGCATCCTTAGCGTTGGCGATAGACTCAAGACCGCTCTTGTCGGCGTCGCCGTATCGGAGCTCGTAGGGAACTGGGATGAAAGCAGCGCTGTCGGCAGCACGCTCAGCGGTGACACCAACGGGGGCGGAAATGTAGGCGCGAGTCTCGAGATCCTTTCCAGCCTCAGTGGAGACAGTCAGGTGGACGGCGGGGTGAGGCCAGGTACCATCACCCTGGCCGCTGTAGAAGTTCTGGATCAAAGCGGAGAAAGTGTTGAGCTCGGAAGCAGTGGCGTACCAGCCAACCAAGACTTCGCGTGGGTTGGCCTTCAGGTGCAAAGCCAGCATCTGCTTGTGGTATTCCATATCGACTTCGACTTGGTCCTCAGCCTCGGAGTGGCCGACAGCAAAGGCGGATCGGACCTCGACCTCACTTCCATCCTCAGATCGTGTTCCGAGCAGTGTACCGATAACTCGCTCCTGGTCGGCATTGCGGCGAAGAGAGTGGTCGAGAACTGAGAAGATTGCCTTGGGAGGAATGAGCTTTAC